ATTCAGTGTATTAACTCTGACAGATTCCTGGGACATACATGGAATGTTCATAATGTAACTCATGTATGTCCCAGGAATATGCATGTACATCACATCACATGTTCCAGGTATATTCTAGGAATATCATTTTGCTATGTGGGTTGTTTGTTCTAGAAGTTGGGTAGAGCGTTTCAAGAAGAGGCATAATTTCAGTAGCGGAATAATTATTGGAGAGTCTGCCGGTGTGAACATGAATGTGGTCAATGATGGTTGCACCACCATCCGAGACAGTTATGAGTTATGGCCCACCATCCGAGACAGTTATGAGTACAAAGATATTTTTAATGCTGACGAAATGGGCCTATTTTATAAACTAACGCCCGGCACTACTAAAATTTGTCGGTGAAAAACGTGCTGGGGGCAAGTTATCTAAAGTACGCCTTACAGTTTTGGTGGCGGCAAACATGTCGGGAACAGAAAAAAGAAAGTTGGATGACATCGGACATTTTTAGAACTGAATTGCGTCAATGGACTAAAACTTAAAAACAGAAAAATTGTGCTTCTAGTCGACAAGTGTCCAGCGCACCCTGATGTTAAACCCCAGCCGAATACAAGCGGAGCTCCAACCTATGGATCAAGGAGTAATACGTTCGCAAAAATGTCATTGTAGGAAAATTCTTCTTATGAAAATGTTAGAGGCGATCGAAAAAAATTAAACATTTTCTATACATCTCTTAGATGCAGTCAATTTAATTCATAGAGCTTGGCAAAAAGTTAGCCGAAAAACCATGGAAAATTGCTTTAAGCACGGTGAATTTGTAAGAAAAAAAATGATTATGAACCAGACGATGAAATTCCACTTAACGAAAGCATAAAGACTCTGACTACGAGTATGACTCAGATGAAGATGTACACAAATTTGTTGAAGAACAAGTTAAAACCAAATTGAGTGATTTAAATTTTTTCGAATATGTGAGCATTGATAATGGCATTCTTACAAGAGAAATGTTGACCGATGAGCAAATTGAAGACTCCGTAAGCTCATCTACAGCTTTAGGCGATAATGAGGAACATGACGATTTAGGTAAAACTGATTTACTGTAGACATTAATGCTATTCCAACCATTTCTGAAATGACAAAAAAACTGTCGGAGACTCGGAATTTTCTACAATCACGTCAAGTTCCTAATCATATCTGGGAGTCATTTTGTGATCTTGAAAACTACATAAGTAACATTTATTTTTGCACCAGAAATGTACCAACAAAAATTACAGGCTTTATGAAGTAGATTTCAAATTGTGTTCTGTTCATCTTTTAGTGTTCTTTTTAGTTATACCTACTAACTTCTACTACTCTATGTAAAAATATCGAAATAAAATAGACCACGTGTTTTTGTATTATTATTCGCTTATAGCGAACTCCGAATATAACGAACCAGTTTCAGTTCATTTTTCAAGTTTGTTATATCCGGACTCAACTGTATCATTCATCTACAATATTGAACATAAATACAAAACACAAGACATTTACTCAATAATAATCAATATGCTCAGTTGGTTTTATTTCATGATATTTAAATATTTGCAGCACATCATTTCTTCAACATGCAAGTTACTTCATATTGTCTTTAAGCTCTCACTGGTCAAAATTGCCATTATTTTTACACCGCCTTACAAACCTGAATACTAAACTACCACAAAAACAACATATTTTCATCAGTTGTTAGTTCTTTTCTGATTAAATAGCCGCGTTAATCAGGATGGTTATTTGCATGAAAACTGTTGAGCTATTCGTATTTTTTTACCCTCGTGTGGCCACGAGTGGTTAACATCTTCGGAAATTATTTGTTCGAAAGCTTACACTGTACTGATGCCATTAAATAAAGAATATAGCAAATAAATGTCAGAAAAGGTGCAGCTGCACGAGTTCTCCTACTTTTGCCAAAATAAACGTTCCATCTTTTGACACGAAACACCATTGCGAATGGCTGGATGTTGTTCGCTTAGGTTGCCGTGAAACGTATTTAGAGAAAATATAAATCGAAATTTGTATGTCCATTGTAAACGTTAATTATACCAACATACCTTTTCCTGGCAGACCTCAAACCATTTTTATTTTGTAGCACTTAACAAGCATTATATTTTACAGCCCAACAGATTGTTATGCTACCTTTTGAAGTGATAACTTTATATGGGAGGGTGCATAGATAAAGACGAGTGGGAGACGGAGGGTGAACCGATTTTTCTCGGTCACGGCGAGCCGTAACCAACTCCGTAACCGTAAAGCCACTCCGACCTCTTCGTGCCTGAGGCTTGGGCCGCACATATGCACTTTGAATTCGAAATTTTTCTCTTAGTGCGGGTGCATCTGTGGATCTGATAAACTTTTCAAATACACATTGCAATATTAAACTGACAGTGATTTTGATTTATTAATTATTGAGTGTGATATTATTGTGTTCGGTGCAGTTAATTTTATAACGCTGATAACAATGAATCAACAAATTATCAAGGGAGAAGCTGCAGATACTGCAAATACTAGGTTAAGGGTGCTCATGTACTAAATG